TTCCACACTCGATTTACTTTCGGGATTCTGGCAGCTTCCTCTGGATGATGAGTCAAAGCCTAAAACTGCTTTTCGTACACCGCACGGCTTGTTTCGATTCAACCGGTTGCCGATGGGCTTACACTCAGCGCCGGCAACTTTCCAGCGTTTAATGGAATTGGTTTTGGCTGGACTGCAATGGGAGTCGTGCCTCATTTATTTGGATGACGTTATCGTCTTTGGAAAAACCTTTGATGAACATCTCCAGAGGTTGCGGGCGGTTTTCCTAAAGATGCGGGCTGCTAATTTGAAATTCAAGCCCCAAAAATGCCATTTGTTGCGTGATTCGGTGCGTTATTTGGGGCACATCGTGGGACGCTCAGGTATTGCTACCGATCCCGCCAAAAGGCCGTGTGTCAGCTCCTGGCCGACTCCCACCTCGGTGGGAGAGGTCAGGAGTTTCATTGGGTTCGCGTCGTATTATCGACGGTTTGTTGCTGATTTTGCGACAATTGCTAAACCCCTGCACGCTTTAACATCTAAAGGGGTTCGGTTCCACTGGGGTCAAGAGGAGGAGGCTGCGTTCCGCTCCCTTCGGGACGCCCTGGTGAAAGCCCCTCCCTTGATCTACCCTGATTTTTCGAAGCTCTTTTTGCTCGACACCGATGCGAGCAACACGGGTATTGGGGGTGTGCTTTCCCAGGTGGTTGATGGCGTTGAACGGGTGGTCGCATACGGTAGTCGGGTGTTGTCTCCTGCGGAGCAGAGATATTGTGTCACCCGTAGAGAACTGTTGGCAATTGTTTTTTTCATCCAACAGTATCGCCCATATCTGTACGGTCGGCATTTCACCGTCCGCACAGATCATGCGGCACTACAGTATGCCCTGCGGGTTCAACAACCATCGGGACAGTTGTCTCGATGGTTGGAGGTTCTCCAGGATTTTGATTTTGAGACCACTTACCGTAAGGGCGTTCGCCATACCAACGCGGACGCTCTGTCACGCATGCCAACCACCTCGGAATGTGCATGCCTCCTGGGGTCGGGACGTTGCAGACCTTCAGGGGACGCATCGGTTCCGATCCTGGCAGCCACCGACGACGACGAACCACTGCCTGATAATTCGATCGAACAACAGGGAAGGGATTCCCTGTTGGGGTTGCCCGTCACTGAGTGGGGGCGCCTCCAAATGGAGGATACCTCCCTCCTCGGGTGGCGTCGTCGCGTCGGGGGTGCTGGCCGGGTGAAAGGTGATTCTGGTGCATGGGAAATGGTACAGGGTCTGCTCATGCATTGGGACGCAAAATTACAGCGACATCGGCTGGTCGTCCCTTCGGAGTTGCGAGGCAAAGTGGTGTGGGCCGCGCATGAGCGCCTGTTACATCTGGGGACTCTAAAGACCCTTGCACTGATACAACTAGATTTTTTTTGGCCTGGTATGACAAAGGATGTTGGGGATCTTTTGAATTCATGCCCGCGGTGTGCGCAACGGAAACCGCCGGCACGGGAGTCTAACCCGCCTTTACAATCAATCAAGGTGTCCAGAATAAATGAGCTTGTCGCGCTGGACATCTTGGGCCCATTTCCCGCCACCCCCAGGGGCAATAGGTATTTGCTGACAGGAGTCGAGTATTTTACGCGCTGGCCCATGGCCTGGCCCCTTGCCAACCAGTCGGCAGCAGCCATTGTGGACGCCTTTGTTCAGGGATACGTCCTGGACAAAGGTGCTCCGGAACGGCTGCTGACCGACCAGGGTAAACATTTTTCAAGCAAATTACTTAAACAAGTTTGTGACCTCTTAGGCACAAAGAAAATTCGGACCTCCCCGTATCACCCACAGACAGACGGAATGGTCGAGCGCCTGCATCGCACCATTTCGTCAATGATGGCACAGCAGGTCTCAGATTCTCAGACTGATTGGGACCTGCATATTCAGGGGGTCTTGGCGGCATACCGGATGGCACCCCATGCAGCTACGGGATTTTCCCCCTTTTACCTCATGTACGGTCGCGAACCCGACCCGCCTGTTCGCGCCCAGCTGCAGATCCCCGACCCGCAAGGAAAAACTAAATTGGCTGACCACGTCAAATTTAATCTGGCTAAATTAACAGAGGCGCGGGATGCTGCGAGGTTGAACTCGGACCTCCGTCAAAAGGCGAACGAGCGCCTCAGGCTGGGTCGGGCGCATGTAATACACTGGAAACCGGGGGACAGGGCATGGTTGCACTGTCCCCAAGTACCCCTGGCCACCTCCCCTAAGCTGGCGCGGCCGTGGCGGGGCCCCGTGGAAGTGGTCGAGGTCTTGCGACCACAGTGCGTGCGCATTCGTTGGGGGAAGCGGCGATGGTTCGTGCACCCCTCTCGGTTGAAACCTTTCGTCGCGGTACACAAACCCACTTCACACATGCGTGGCCAGACGTGTGGGGGGTCGACCGACTCGCTAGCTCCGTCTCCACCGCGCTCACCTAATGCCTTGCCGGCCGTGCCACCTCCAGGTGCATCGGGACTGACGAGCCCGCACCCACCTGCTGCTGCAAGGGACGCCGAGGTTCCCGCGACGTCAGACGCGGACTCTATACAAAACGAACAACCGCCACCGGCGGGTTCGCCACCCGGGATTGCCCCGTGTGACGGGCCTGCAGCAAGGACACGCGCAAAAATGCGCAGACTCTTATAATGCATTGGACGAACATTTTTGTTTCTTCTCTCTTACGTACGGTTGCGTGGTGCTGCGTCGGTGGGGAGCTCCTAACACATTTTTTTTTGTGTTGTGTTGCATGTGTGCTGCGAGTTCCCTGCTTAACCTGTATATATGCGTCGCTCTTACGGTATTCGTATTTATTCAGGGGGGGTGCGTCGGATTGTTCCCTTCGGGGTTGTGGGTTTTGTTGTTGTCATTGTTGTTGTTGTTGTCGTTGTTGCTGTTGGTTCCTTCATGTTAGCGTTAAAAACGTTTTTTTAAGGCACACGCGGGTATCCAGGGGTTAAATAGCCTTTATTAAAGTTGTTGCAGCCGGGACGGCTGCGAGCTGTACAGGGGGGGGGTGATGTAGGGCTGTTACAGAGGGGCTGTTTGTGTAGGGCTGTTTGCATAGGGGCTAACGGATAACAAACACAGTGGGCGGGGACTCCGTGAGCACACGGGGTGGTGCCCGCAACGACGTCCGTACTGGACGGCGTGAGGGGGGTTTCGATCCTCTAGGGGGGTATAAAAAGGGTTGAGCCAGAGAGCTCGGGGCTCAGTCTTAGTGTAGTTAAGGGAAGAGAGAAGACCGGCCAGATAGGCCCTGGACTCCCCCTGGGACGCCGCCCTTGTAAGGGCAGTGCAGGCTGGAGCCAGTGGCGTGGTCCCGGAACCAGAGTCAGACCTCTGGGATTCCGGGTACCGTAGCCCGACTGACCAGTGTCGGGCCAGACAGCCTCCCCTAGCCCGTTAGCGGAGGACTCGGCTAGGAAGGCTAGCTAGGGGTGAATTCCCAGTTGTACGGGTGAGGGGGCCGATACATCCCTCCAGTATTGTAAGACATTGTGCAAATAAATACGTGTGCCTTACCCCGTTGTCCACGCGTCTTCAAGAACACTTCATATACAATCGGTCGATTTTGATTTAATCCAGCATTAAATAATTAAAAACACGTCGATTCCCGTTCCAGTATTCCTTATATGGGCAAAGCCATGCACAATTACTCCATACATGGGTATGGTCTAAAGTAGTAACATAATTATCATTCATTCTGTCGCGGATTCATTCATTTTATCCTTGTCTATATCAGCTATTATTTCCGACTCTCTGTCTTGCTCTCTGCATCTCTCTCCGATCTCTACTCCAGTGACCTGGGTTCTGCCGCGGGGTCCACTTTCTGCCCCCCCTTCTCTCGCCCCGCCCCCTTCTCTCTCGCCCCGCCCCCTTCTCTCTCGCCCCGCCCCCTTCTCTATACCCCCCCCCTACTGCCGAGGCCTATATAACCTCGTTCCACGGCAGATCTCTCGCCTACTTCAGCAGTTTTTTCTTGCTGTGGTTTTCCCACCTGATGACGATTGCTTGTGCTGCGATCGAAACATCGTGATCTATTATTTTTCTACCTACGTGGCTTTACCGAAAGAACCAAAGAGTATGGATTCCTGCAGTCACGAAATATTCAAATCAAGATTCATTTTATCCTGTTACAAGCACAGCCTTCAAACGCTCACCGCGAGACCACATCTAGCTCGATTCACCTCCCTCTACCTGCTCCCAACACTGTTCCGGGTCTACGATACGGTCGCCCTGACGTATTCAGGATCCTCCATGGACTTGTTTTCTCCTCCGTTTGTCTTTGTTTCCTCTTCGTCTCTCATTCGTTTGTTTTTTTGTGTCCTCAAGTCCCTCACCACCTTCCGGATCAGTATGAAGTCACCGCTGCCGACTTCTCTCTCAGTCCCTGCTTATGCCCCTCTGCTCGAGCAGATCAATTCACCGTCAAGGATCGCTCACGGCCAATTATCACCACTCCAGAGCCATACAAATAAAGACCACTTGTGGGAAGTAAACATTGGTGCTGAATGTGGAACTTCCACCACTGGTTGAGGGCCTCCGGTAGGGATTCGTGCCACCCAACACTCAACAACCCTTTGTACACTGGACACGTGTCAATGTAATGTGGAGATTTTTGGTGGTGGAAAGTCTTTATGAATCATTTTGAATGTGGCATTTATATTGAATATATAAGCTAATAGCTGCTTTATCCAATATAAAAAATGCGAACCAGAATCCAGGATTATAAATCTTTTGAAATATATTTTATATTTTTCATTATTGTAAAAAATTGTTATATGCGGATACTGCTCACTGGACTGATGTAACTCACATCCAACACGAATTCAAATACATTTGGCAAGTTCGGAAATAGCATTTTAATTTTGTAATCATGATATACTGGATGTGAAAGCTACTGAACATGATAGGTTGTCCAAAATAATGATTTCACACTACGTAAATTAACAAAACTTGATAAATACGTTATTAAACATCTTAGCACGGTTGTTACCTGTAAAAATAAACAATCAACTGTGCCTTTAACAGAAACATGACTTGATTGAATGCTCTACAGTATACTGCACATGTAAATATTTAATGAACGTAAACATTTCTTCGTTAAATGCTTTTTTGTTGTGTTCTTAAATTGTTACTTATGTAACCCGGTTCAGTTTAACACGTAGGCTTTCGCGACCAATATCCATACTATGGATGATACCTAAATCACCCTTGCAAAGAGGCAATGCGATTTCTTGAGTTAATGAAGGATGTATAAGAACTGGACGTGGCATTTGGTTGTGAATGTTATGGAAGTTTTTTTGCAACATCATAAATGGAAAATGTTGAATGCCTTTTTCACCATCAAGGTACCTTAACCATCCCAGTTATGATTAAACGTGGAGACTCGTGTGTGTATATGTACCTAAAATCCTACACGTGTATGGTGGCGGATTTGCTTGTTGCATAACGCAAGTTGTCTTTTTTGCAATCATAGAAATATGAGTCATGAGTGTAATGGCGTGCATTGTATGATTAGGCAAGAACATTGCGGATGGAAGCTGAGGGTGTGTGCAGTTTAAACTGGGGAATTCCATGGTGTGTGCTCTTCCAAGGTCACCATGGAAGAGTAGACCAAATAGCCTCTGGAGTTCTCTGGTTGAGGCCCTTCTGTCAGCAGTGACGTGAGCAAACAATTTCAGGACTGCACCGCTACCAAGGTGTGTGTGGAGCCCTCGGCGGTTTTGATTGCATTTACAGCACAGAGTAATCCCTACATAATTATCAGGCTGTAATGGGAAGTAAATCTGCTTTCGAGTTTGCTGGCAGCAACCATGATGAGGAAGCGGAAAGGGCTGCGATGCGTCTCGTCGCATTGGTGATTATTTTACAAAAAATACGAAGTTGGAAAAACATGCTTATGCAGAAAATATGCAGCTTGTCGGTGAAATGTCACGGCATCCTGCTGTTACGCCATAAATGAATTGGACCATTTCTTGGTAACGCATGGGTTAACATCATTACACTGTTGTTTGAAATACACACGCAGCATTAACATTTTAACAAAAATGTAATGTTATGATTGAATAAAGTAGAAACATTAATGCGTTTAAAGTATTGATGAATGCCTTGTGTTAGCTACATACCGAAATCTAAAATATTCCATAGAACATGGTCATTGTTATTCTGTATGGTTTTTTATGTACAGGTTTGATTGAACGCAGTCATTAACAAAACATTTTACAAAAACTGAAAAGTGCATAAAGAAGCACGGAGAGACGCATGCTTGGAATTACACAGAGACAGAAGAGGAGTAGAGGACGTACGCTGAGTGGGCTTGGGCCAGGATGAGTCACAGCTAGAAGGGATGATTGACGGTGGTCAAGAATAATCATAGAGTGGCAGCCAAGGAATGGAACGCGTCTGACGGGGACGTTCGCCAACGAGATTATGCAATCGTGGGAAGTAGCAGCGGCTTGTGGAATTATCAGCGCTGATGATTATGAACGATGCTATTGACTGTTGGTGAAGGAGGTCGATTCTTAGATAATGGTGGTGGGCGAGTGTGAGAGCAGACTGCTGTTTCATTGTATGTAATTATATGCCTTATTCCCCCCCCCCCCCATTTTCCTTCAGTGCTATGTATTTGATGTTTTGAATAGGTTTAAGATGATGTTAGTGTATAAGTGGTTAATGAAAGCAAAAGCCCTATTATTTTGGAATAATATATTGCCACATTCCGTTTATTTTTGAGCTGGTGGTCTTGATACATGCGATGCTGTACACATTTTGCTTGTTGCTAATTTGACGCGTCTTAAATTTCGCACCTGACTCCGACATCCTCATTGTGATTGCAATTGTGATTCCCCCAATCACGGGCAGGACAGAGTAGCAAGCTCATCTCGTCACCAGCGCAATTCACATCGTCCAACCAGATGCGGCCACTGCCTAAGAGAGAAAATCAACAAACTCACAATGTATGCTTGCTTCGAGTGACAAATTATAATGTATGCAATCATAAGGTAGGGATGTTCAAGTTAAGACTTCAAGTAATTAGGTATGAAGTTAGCAGCTGGATATGACGTTTTGTGGCCGAAGCGAAAGGTAATTCTGTATCATAATATTGGCTGCAAAAATCAACGTATTAAGTGAAGGATTGGCTTGCTTGACATTTAGTGACTTAGCAGCTGAACTGTGGACCTCATTAAAAACATCTCAAACGCAACATTTTTTTACCCTCACCCCGCCCACAAAATAAAAATGTAAAAGTCGTAATTTCCTGCCCAAATGAGCATTGAGGCTATGCTATTAACAGCCCCGAGCCATTAGGGGAATTTCCGCATTCCTGGGGCATCGTAGAGTCTATCCATAGTACAGACACTGCTGACTTGCCCACAAAGTGATACTCATTTTTTAAATCCTTTATATTAAGTTCGCATGCTTGCTTGCTTGCTTGCGTGCTTGCTTACGACCGTGCAAATCTTTCGGTCGTTTTTTAACCCACTTCCCGTGATCCAATCGAGCTGACATTTTCCACACAGACTCGTTGTGCCAGACAATTAATGTTCGTGAAAAAAAATTCCCAAAATTTTACACTTTTTAGGCAAAAAAAATGTATTTTACATATATTCAAATAGAACTCATTCATGGCTTTGGCTGAACGTCACAGTATAAGAGCCCAGAGCGTAACCACTCCACAGGCCGTGGCGGAGTAGCGCAGTTGGTAGCGCCCTCGCTTCCCATGCCAAAGGTCGCGGGATCGATCCCCGCATCTTCCACAGGCGAATATATTTTTAAATCCTTTATATTAAGTTCGCTTGCTTGCTTAGGACCGTGCAAATCTTTCGGTCGTTTTTTAACCCACTTCCCGTGATCCAATCGAGCTGACATTTTCCACACAGACTCGTTGTGCGTGACAATTAATGTTCGTGAAAAAAAATTCCCAAAATGTTACACTTTTTAGGACAAAATATTATATTTAATTACCAATTGCTTAATGGTGCAATGCAATCATCTGACCCATAGGTGGCAGCTATCTCAAGCCAGAGGACGAGAGGACTCTAGCCGCCACGCATATAAAGGATTTATAGTGAAAAACTTTGTTTTTACGGGTTAATTTTTATTGACCTCGGACCGATGACGAGTAAACCCCCCAACCGCCATTTGCAACCTTTTGTGAGCCGCTCTCTACCATTTCGATACCTGGCTTATAATGTGAAGATGTATATAAATGTGTTTAACTTACCAGCTCCATGTTTCTGCATCTGGCCTGCCCCTCGGAATCCCAGCATGCGGCACAACACCAAGATGTTGTTTTGGTTGTCCCATTTATCATCGCACACGGTGCCCCACTCTCCGTCGTGAAGCACCTCTAAGCGCCCAGTGTGCCTGCCCTGGCCACCGGTCAGCCGCACTATGGGAGTGTATAGGGGACGATATCGAGCACAGGTGTTCAAATAACGTTAACGCTGACTTAACGCAAGCACTGCTTTAGGATTTACAATTGATATCCAGGTTTGGACACAATGATCTGGCCAAATTAAAAATGCATTCTGACCGTCTGGATTTACCTGAGGGTGTTTGACATAGTTGGAAGTGAAACGTGAGAATTTAGTCTAGCAGCTATATCTTCAGAGGGCGTTACATTTTTAGTTAGTTCACTCATAAAGCTAGAGCATTTCTGATGGTGCCATGATTTAGTATGACACACTTCTGAAGTGGTGTAGTTTTTTTACAGGTGGGTTTGTTGAGGGAATTGGTACCGCAAATAGGCCATCAATAAAAAACATGTTTTCGATTGTGTGTGTAGCCTGGTAGCTTTATGCAAAACAATCTGATTACACACTGTTGCTGTTGTAAAAGAAAGGAAACATTTGAAGTCAATAGGACTATAACATATTTTATATCACAATGAAAATACATTTCATAACTAAATACCATTGCTAAATATAAAGGTTGTTTAATAAGATTTTTATATTTTACTCTATTTCAGATGGATTCCAATCCTTTAAGATGTATTATGCCACCCAAGACTCTAATTTAACCCTAGCAGATATGTTATCAGATGTGTTATATCCCAGAAACAATGCAATGAGGATGTCAGACAAAGAAGAATGCACTGAGACTTGTTGTAGCCTTGTCTGCCTTTGAGAACAAAGATGAATCTTAACTCAACACTCACAGTCTTGTGCTTGAAGGCGTATGCTTTGAGATATATACTGTATTTTATTCACAAGACAAGACTGCTAAGAAATAACTAGTAAATAAATAATCTTGAAATTATCATATTTATGATGCCTATTTTAGACAAATGCTTGGAAGAATCAGTTCAGTCAAGCCAGATATCATTTTGAGGCATAATTAAAGAGCTTTATAGCTCATCGGATTCATCCAGGATAAATAAAAATTCTGATTATGAAGTACATTTATTTATTGTCATCTCGTAGTACAGTAAATTAAGATTATCTTGAAATAGCCATTCTTCAGACATATATTTATATATCAGAATCCCTCAACAAACTCCTTTGTCGGAAGAAAATAATATTGCACCACTTCAGAAATCCACATCCACCCTTGCCCACAAGGGTCATAGAAAAGCATGGCACCATCAGAAACGTCCCAGATTAATGGGCAAACCTTTCGAAAAATGTTGGTCCTAGCTGCTAGACTAATAGTTCAACTTACCAGTGAGCAGAAACATAGCAATTGGTGCTTTATTAAACGCTCATGCGCCACGTGACGATTTAATTTGTTTGGCTGCGTCGGGTGGTGGAGGGTCTGACGACTGCAAATTGGCCAGATTATTACATGGTGGCCAATCCCCAAAAATCGATGATGAATCAACGTGAAGACTGCATTATGTTTAAAGTCAATGTTGAAACTTTCAGTTCAATACATTATTGAATCAGCAAAGTTTTAAAATCGCAATTGCACGATTCCTCTGCTTAGCTTGCACCCGTTCCAACCGTATGCCTGTGCATGACCACTTCCTGCAAACCTACCACCGCCTCCTATACGTGGCGACAATATCCATCTCATTCTCGAATGTCATTCCAGATTATTACACGCAATTAAAGAAAACATTTATCAATGGGCTTTATCCCGTCCAAGCCAGTTCGAGTTGTCTTAACAACCACAACAATTCTTAAGGCTGCAGTATTAGATGGAAAAAAAAACACGCCAAGAAGAACAGGTGAATACTTTCAGATGCTGGGGCACACTGATCATGGAAGATGGGTGGTGTGTCGCGGAATTGAGATCGAGGAATGGTTGACAAGAACTCCAATTGAAACAGTGAAGAAGATATATACCTACGTGAATTTCGATTTAAAGCTTTCGTGACTGTAGGGATTCATCTTCTTGGTTCTTTCGGTAAAGTCACGTAGAAGGGAAGTAATACAATAAAAATAAAACATAATAAAATAAAATAATTCTCACGACGTTTCGGCTACAACGCAAGCAGCCGTCTTCAGGTGAAGAATGAGACACTGCCAAGCTAGGAGCTTATATATAAGCTGGGTTGGAGGTGGAAGAAGAGCGCCTTAACAAAAAGAATGTGCATATCAAGAGGAATTTAGCATATTCATGGGAAATGCGTAGGAGGTGGGCGGGGGGGTTTCAAAGTCATATTATGCCCATGCATTATGCAGGATCAGCAGCACCAAAGGGAGGGTGCAGGGAGTAGCATTAACAAAGGAAAGGAATGTTAATAGTATGTAGCTGCAGTTACTAAACAACCACGTAGAAAACTAAAGTATGAACTACATAAAAACTAAAGTATAAACTGCATAGCATCATCAGTATACTTACTATACTCTACAATAAGCTGAGTTACTAACAGCAAGTAATACATTACAATTCTACGTCGTAAAAATTATATAATATGCTTCCATCTAAACTTTATTCTCTTACATCACACGAGCATACACCGTACTATATACTGCCATAGACAAATCCAACATTAAATTATATACTGTATTGCTATAAACCACCCTATACCTTATACATTTTAATATAACACTATGTATTATTCTACCCGCCCTAATGTGTATCACACTGCTATATGTTTACTATACAATTACGATACTATATATTACTTTGTACATTGTATTAAGCATATAAATGTTATACTATTTGTTATTATACACTGTACCATTGACCGTCGTGTCAATGGGTGAGTCGTGGGGGGAAACTTGCAGCGGAGCAAAGAATCCATTCCCTGCGGAGAATACAATGCCAGTGAGTGGAACGCGGTCTGAAAGTCACCGTAAACGTGAACACAATCAGTTAAGATACGAAATGGTTTATTACGTCCTTCCAATGATTGCTAAGCCAGAATCCATCTTCAACAAGCTCCGGGATAAGAAGGCTCAGCTAATCGAGTCTCTCACCTTTCTGAAGAGATGCCGCGACTCTAAGGTAATACCAAACGCATTTACACTAACATCTGCTGCTGTAACTTCTTCTAATGCGAAACGAATTCTGTCTAGAACTAGCTTAGCTCTTATCTCAGAGAAAATCAGACTTACACGCACCGAACTAGATCAGTTAGACAAGACACTCTACAAATCACACTTATCTTTGAGTGCAACAATGTCCACATCGGATTGGGAACATGTAGATAAAATGACTGCCTCTTCAGCTGCCGCTATGTCGACTAAATGTAAGGACAACTTGATTTCCAAATTCAACCGCCTCTCAAACAAGAAACCGGACCCACACATTGAAAAGCTAGATGTTAACAAAGTCGTAATTAATCGCAGTAACAGTTCTATTTTTGAAGGTCTGAAATCCGTTTTAGCTAAAGGACTAAACTTTGCAGTCACACCTAGACACATACCAGTTAATGATATAATTGCTAGAGTAGATGTAGCTCTCAAGGGCCTGAGTAACATCGCTGCAGACGTAGCAAGATCTGAAATCTCTGTAACCCTCAAAAACGCTAAGATGCCAGCTAGCAACATCAGCAAAGATGAGCGTTTTGAATTAGCTCAATTAAAAAAGAGGGATGACATTGTCATCCTCTCAGCCGACAAAGGCAATGCCACTGTCATCATGGACAAAACAGAATACAACAACAAAATCCAAGAACTACTCAACGATGGCAGCTATACAAAAATAAAAAGAGACCCCACCAACAGCCTCGTCTCAAAAACCAAGCAAATCATTTCTGATTCAACCGCATTAATTGATCATACCAAACAGTTCTCGTTGAAACCTTCTGCAGCCAGGCCACCAAGATTATACGGCTTGCCAAAGATACATAAAGAAGATACACCTCTTCGTCCCATTGTCTCTACTATCAACTCCCCCACCTATAAATTGGCTCGTTTTTTGTCTGAAATCCTACGGCCTTTCACTGGAAAAACCACCTCTGCGGTACTAAACTCTACTGACCTGGTATCGACAATCAAAGGGATTGCCCTGTCCCCAGACGACCTGCTTGTCAGTTTTGATGTGGTTTCCTTATTCACCAAGGTTCCTGTACCTGACACCATCGCAATCATTGAAGACTTGGTTCATCAAGGACTGAATGCTGGGGTACCCCCCCTGGTGAGACACTGCTTAACCAATACATACTTCACCTGGAATGGAACTTTCTACAAGCAAACTGAGGGCACCCCAATGGGCTCCCCCCTATCTCCGGTTGTAGCCAACATCTTCATGGAGAAATTTGAGACTGACGCCATCCAGACTGCCACTCTACGCCCGACCTTATGGAAGAGGTACGTAGACGACACTTTTGTCATCTGGCCACATGGCCGGCCTGCTCTAGACAAATTTCTCGACCACATCAATTCCATACACCCAGCCATCAGATTCACCATGGAAGTCGAAAAAGATGGCAAGCTACCCTTTTTGGATGTCCTAATTAAAAGGAGACCTGATGGTTCAATGAGCCACTCTGTCTACAGGAAAGCCACCCATACGGATGCTTACCTAAAACCGGATTCCCACCACCATCCATCCCAGAAGAATTCCCTCATCAAGACTCTATACCATAGAGCCCAATGCATCTCCGACCAGGAACACATTGCCAGTGAACTCAAACGCGTACGCCAAGCTCTTAAGGCTAATGGTTACTCCGACTACACAATCCGCAAAGCCATCACTCCAACCATCAAGAAGGATCCTGTTGAGGAGCCTTTCAAGACCATCACCTTACCCTACATTGCTGGGGTCACAAAAAAGATCTCCAAAATCCTGATTAAACACAAGATCCAGGTCCGATTCAACACAGTACATCCGTGATCTGGTCCCGTCTGTAAAAGATGTGGTTCCAGACATACAGTACCCTGGCGTCTACAAACTAAGTTGCCTCTGTGGTAGCAGTTACATTGGGGAAACCAAATGACATGTCTCAGACCGCATCCGTGAACATAAAGCAGACCTGAAACACGGTAGGACAAACACCTCAGCCGTGGCAGATCACTGTTACAACTCAGTGGGCTCACATGACATTGACTTCTCCAAGACAGAGGTTCTCTGCAAGCAATCTAGCTATCATGAGAGATTCGTTCATGAGGCGATCCACATATACAAACACAGAGACAATTTCAACCGAGAAGATGGATTCTGGCTTAGCAATCATTGGAAGGACGTAATAAACCATTTCGTATCTTAACTGATTGTGTTCACGTTTACGGTGACTTTCAGACCGCGTTCCACTCACTGGCATTGTAATCTCCGCAGGGAATGGATTCTTTGCTCCGCTGCAAGTTTCCCCCCACGACTCACCCATTGACACGACGGTCAATGGTACAGTGTATAATAACAAATAGTATAACATTTATATGCTTAATACAATGTACAAAGTAATATATAGTATCGTAATTGTATAGTAAACATATAGCAGTGTGATACACATTAGGGCGGGTAGAATAATACATAGTGTTATATTAAAATGTATAAGGTATAGGGTGGTTTATAGCAATACAGTATATAATTTAATGTTCGGTTTGTCTATGGCAGTATATAGTACGGTGTATGCTCGTGTGATGTAAGAGAATAAAGTTTAGATGGAAGCATATTATATAATTTTTACGACGTAGAATTGTAATGTATTACTTGCTGTTAGTAACTCAGCTTATTGTAGAGTATAGTAAGTATACTGATGATGCTATGCAGTTTATACTTTAGTTTTTTATGTAGTTCATACTTTAGTTTTCTACGTGGTTGTTTAGTAACTGCAGCTACATACTATTAACATTCCTTTCCTTTGTTAATGCTACTCCCTGCACCCTCCCTTTGGTGCTGCTGATCCTGCATAATGCATGGGCATAATATGACTTTGAAACCCCCCCGCCCACCTCCTACGCATTTCCCATGAATATGCTAAATTCCTCTTGATATGCACATTCTTTTTGTTAAGGCGCTCTTCTTCCACCTCCAACCCAGCTTATATATAAGCTCCTAGCTTGGCAGTGTCTCATTCTTCACCTGAAGACGGCTGCTTGCGTTGTAGCCGAAACGTCGTGAGAATTATTTTATTTTATTATGTTTTATTTTTATTATTTTATTACTTCCCTTCTACGTGACTTTATCCGAAAGAACCAAGAAGATACCTACGTGACTTTACCGAAAGAACCAAAGAGTAATGATAGACAAGATGATGGTGCAGAAAAGTGGACACTAAGACAAATGAAGTGACACCGTTAGAATTGTTTGGGATGTGGCTTTGGAGGATGCACAGTGTAACCGAATGGAGAAGATGACCAACTGCATTTTGGTAGCATTGGGAAGGAAAACTGTATAATCAACAGCCTTCATTAAACATGTGTAGTGACGGCGGAGCGGGAGACAAGGGTTTTCAGAAGACACCTTATTAACACCTTCACACTTTACAGGTTCATCCTAGTACTCTCAATAGTTGTCTAGCCTAGCCTAAACACAACCCTGACCATGTAACACTGACGGCGCTGACCGAGACAGCCAATAACTATCCGGCCGCGCAATATCTAGCGAAGACGGCAGCGAAAAAGGCGGTGAAGACGACAGCGACAAAAGGACGAGTCCACTTCCAGAACTGGCAGCCCTGAGCTCCTGCTCTCAGCTGCTTTTATGCTACCCAGCGCGCCTGGCTCCGCCCTGGCCGCGCCTTCCTTCTCGAACCCACTAGCAGGTTCCAGGGGCTTCCAGATGGGGGTTTCCGTAGCCCTTGCCCCAGTTCCTCCGCCCTGCCGACACACCCGTGTATATGCCCACTGTTTGTCCACCGCAGTTGCCGTTGCTGGACAACAGTCGGCATTATTACACTACACATACTTAAAGGTAGTTCTTAATGAAAAGCATATTGTCGTGCCACCGTAGCATGCCATCATGCAATGCGACCGCCCTCCGGTCTAGCCACTGCTGTTAGGGGAGTTCTATTGGGAACGGCAACCACCTGGCACCAGACCCGTCTCCGGGCTCCACGTATTCGACCTCATCCTCTGCGCCTTCCGGAAGAGGAAGTCGAGCTGACAAGCTGGTGTCAGTCCACGCATACTTACCCATATGTGCATGTGAAGATACTCCCTGTGGACCAGGCAAGCCCTGAGGCCCTATCGGGCCACGCTCTCCCTGAGATCCCACTGGCCCAGGATTCCCTGAATGGAAAAAAAAATATCAAAGCATAGCAAGCATCGCAAAAAGTACTCTTACCTCATTACACAGTTTCATTAGCCAAAGAGGTGGAATAGACTACACCATGACATTACGTCAATGTTGCTGAAGAAGCCGAATTACAGGACACATGCAATCCAACCATTGCTGTACTGGCTCCTCATGACAGTCACTATTGTAAAACAATGATCATACTGATTTGCTTTTAATATAGCTCCTGTATCTTTGGGTATTTTAGAGCACTTTAAACATGACAAGTGACTTACATCACATCTAAAATATCTGAAGGGCACTCTCAGTGGCAGCTGTCTCTGCGTGACACAAGGTGACTCAGCAACTGGTCTGCACGTGGAGACTAATCGGCCAGTCAGGGGTAATGGTCACTACGTTGTAATTCCAACTGAACAATTTGCAAAGTAATTTTTTAAATTAACAAATTCGAACCGTGACTGTCATTTATAAAAACGCCAGTGTGATTAGTCATGGCTAATGATGATGAAGCTGTCTATGGCTTAACGCTACAATTCTGCGCCTCGGAGGAAGGCAGAGCAAATCTCACCCACATCGATATGTGCATGTGTGTGTGCACTTCCGAGTCAGGTCTGATTGCTCGTTTCACTCCGTAGGTGCGGCCTGCATTGGAATTTCACAAAAGCATGAAAACGAACTCTCCATGCCAGGGCCCATTGTCTCTGCAACACTCCCAGCTCTTACCAGGAGCTCCACGGGGTCCTGCAGCACCTGGGGCGCCAGCTTCCCCTTTGCTCCCCTGCACACCTGGGGCCCCGCTTAATCCACGTGCCCCCGTGTCACCTTTGACCCCTGGAGAACCCATGGAACCCTGTTCGCCTTTTGCACCACGCTGTCCATTTGTTCCTTAAGAGTGGAATGGATAAAACTGTTTAGATAAAACATTATTACACTTGTAGTGAGCCGTAGACGTTCTTCAGAGGCAACACATTTATTACGCAACACGTATATATACAAGGGGTAGCTGCCCCTTTACCATATACAGCCTAGGGTGGTGACCACCCAGCTAACTACACTACCATACAGCAGTTATGGCTACAACGGACCGGACCTCCACTCGGGTCCTGGGCCACGTGTTGGTGCCTCTTCAGATGTAGAACGTGGAGCTTCCAGTTTGCAGAACGAAGCGACCCCGGTCCCTCCCAGGGACCCAACTTATATCCTCCAGGGTCGGGGCCGGCTCTGCCCTCGGCCCTGCCCACCTTCGAGAGCGTTCCAGCTCTCTCTCGATCCCTCTCTCCCCGTACATGTGATCACCCCTAGCCCCCCCCCCCCCCACCTGGGGGCTCCCTATAGACACTCTGGATCACGTGCCTACGGGGTCAACCAGAGTGCCATGGCCCGGGGCAACCCTGTCCCTGGGCTGACACTCACCCACTCCCCCTCATGTGGGAGCCCGCACTGCACGCTATGCGTGCAGTGCCCTCGCTATCCCAGTGCTCACCAAGCCCTGCTAGGGCTGGTACAACACCCACCTACGGGGTGTACTCGATGACAGTGCATCACACGCCGTGCTCTGCTAGAGACGGCCTCACTCAGCAACACACACGATGCTGTCCGCGATGTAAGTACATCGCACGCCATGGCCCTCCAGGGCTGGCACCACACAGTGACATCCCCAATGTCACTCCACACTTAATAATCAGCGCGAAAGATGCCATGGATTGCCCAACGCTGATTATGCATCACAAGGGAGTTAAGGTGTACCCCGGGCTATTACAGACAACACTGCAGAGAAAACTAAATGTCTGTAGCGAGGCATAGTGACAGCAGTGAGCATTGGCCACGATGTTGGTACCTGCATCGCCCTTCGGTCCAGGCAAACCACGTAGTCCAGGATCTCCAATGGAACCCTTCTCTCCTTTTGTGGCTGGAATACCTGGCACTCCCATCATGCCCTTTTCACCTGCAGAGACGACATCAGTCTGAGTAAGTCAGAATGATTATAAATGCTCAGTAAAGTATTCAATACATTTACTTGAGACATCATCCCAAATTAGTCCGAACAAATATATTCAGGGCATCCATTCCACTAGAATGTAAACAGACAAGGATACATGTCAGATACAATTGCAAGTAGAGTTATCAGAAGGACTTGACAGCTTAGCATCGAATTGTGATGCAGATGCTAAGCATCGCCAATCCCAGCAGGCAATGCGGATCCATCGAGGGCAAGCTCAAGGGAACTAACTGTTCGAGTGGCGGCATCATACATCCTTGCCGTACCCATGTACAGCCAGGATGTACGGTGCAGCAAAGTTTATAGCCAACGCTATAAATAGTGTATACAAAAACATACATAGATCCCCTGTATGGCCTTAAGAGACTTTTGGGGCAAGTGCTGTTAGCGAGTACCTATGAAAGCTGGTGCAGCACACGAGGGGGTGGGTTGGCCGCACCACGATGGGCCGCCTTTGTCTCTCTAGTGGCGATGTTTACACACAGCACCAAGAACTGTACTTGTTTGAGGTTGAGTCGACCCAGAGGAGGCCCAGGACTTCTTCAGATAATTGTCACTGGTATTGGCCGTTTAGCTGGAATCGAACCTGGGTCTTCATGTTCATAATACACAACATTAACCACTACACTACCGCTCTCCACATATATAATAACAACCGTCATACGCCACTAAGCGGTGGTGGCGTCAACACGGTGATAGCGCCATGCAGGGTGTACTTTGAGGCCATGTGGAGTGTTGAAGGCATGTTGGCTATACACATACGTTGTTCTGTGTATCGCCTAAGTCAGTTGAACATATAGGCAGAAAGCCCTCTTGCCTGAACATCTTATTCCGAGCGTTTGTCCCACTAGGTAGAATTAGCTTTCTGAGTCCTCTCCCCTCTCCAGTCTTCGATCCATCACCTTCTCTTCGCTGACAACTTCTCATGCTTTCTTCGGTCACCACCCTCAACTGACTTGGTCTCAACTTTCTTTCCAACGTAGTCTTCTGCCCTTCTGGCCACGTGTCCGAACTATCTCAGCATATTCTTGCACAACTCGTTCTCCTCGATATCAACGCTCCCAAAACCATGAGATCAGACCAATTTTGGGTGATACGCATCAACGATGCATTACAACAGCATCTCTTAACCCCCGACATTGCTCTCAGAGGGCACACAGCAGGTGTCAGATGCGCACGTACTTTGCAATCACAAGCATCGCCTTCAGTGCATTTGATTAGCTCTCTTACCAAGTAGTCCAGGGGGTCCACGTGGGCCGGCAGGTCCAGCCTGCCCCACAACAGCATCCCCTTTGTCCCCCTTGGCACCTGGAGTGCCATTCTCTCCGCGTTCCCCTGCGTGTCCTTTGAGGCCAGAGAGACCAACTCCACCCTGGACACCCTTTTCTCCGGGATGTCCTTTCACACCTGAAGATATGTAAAGCAACTGCTGGTACATAGGTTGTGTAACATCGCGAACAGTAACATGTACATCGTAGATTGCATTGGCTTTCTGGATTTCCCTGAAGATTCGAAAGGTCACATCTAATCGCTAAATCTGGTTGTGATATTCGTTTTACAACTTACTGGGGAGCTAAAGCAATCGTAATTGGCGTGTTAAACGCTCGTATGTTTGAATATGTCGGATAGTGGAGGGTTTTACAACGGTAATTTGGTCAGCCTGTTGGGCTTGGTCCGTGACAAAGTGGATAGCCTGGTGCCCATCGTGCCAGCATGGCTGATGGCTCATGGAGGTGCAAGGCAGTCTGATCTGAGACCAGAGTGGAGTGCAAAAGAGTCAGCATTTCAGAGAGTATTAAGCAAAGGTCATGCGTTGAGAGAATTATAAATTTGTGAATTTAGTGTGAGGCCAAAAGCCGTGAATTTACAGTCGTTGAGTGATTTGGTCGTTAAGCGAGAATAGGAAATACATGTTAAAGGCTTAATTCGTCTGATAGCATCGAAAGTTACCCTTTTTCAACCAAAAAAGTAGTTTATTATATTTTAATAATGGATTTTAACATATAAAGATACTAACAGCATAAAACACATAATATTAAAAGAAACATGGTCAATAAATGCATTAATTAGTATTTACGATACCTACAACAGTCTGTCATTAACAGGGGAATGGTCGGTAAGCGAACACATTGGGCTCTATGGAGGCCTGTCGTTGATCAATTAGTCGCTAACAGCGGTGGTCGTTAAGAGGTGTTCTACTTTATTGCAAAGGGCCCGAGGCCGCACGGTACCAGTGTCTCCCTTTGGTCCGGGCTCCCCCCGCAGTCCGCTCACCCCCGATGGACCCCCCTCTCCTTTGAGCCCCGGATGGCCAGGTAATCCCACACTCCCTGCAAAGCAATTGTCATCACCACGATCAACAATTCTGTTTTGAATTGAATTTAATCTAGGCTCTTTTTCCAGCCGGAATCAATGATGTATAGAACACGATTTTCAGTGGTCCTTTTTAAAATAAAAAAATAATCGTGAGCATTGCTGTGGAGAATATATAACAAAATAAATACGCAGACAATTCGACTGTTTCACAAAGTTGCTTCTCCAAACAATAACAAATATATATACACAATAAAAAATATATACCATATGTATATATATATATTTAAAAATATATATACAAATATATACACAAAAATATATATGTATACCATATGTATATATATTTAAATATATACCATATGTATATATATTTTTATACATCACATTGGCCACGCAGACTTCCGGGAGTGCATCATTTCAGCAGCTTGGTTCCACACAAGCAGACTCTGGGACAGTTTTGACATTCAGTGGCTCATCTGCAGATGCCATTTTCTCCAACTTAGTCTCTACCCTTTCTTCCCTGTGGTTTGGATGTTTTGTATTCTGCAAGGTATAGATGCACAGCTTACATGATTCACTCAATTTCAGGATTATTTGGCCATTCATGATGTCTCAGTTAATTACTTGGCAAACTTTGGTTTGGGCCTATGTATGTTGAACTTCTTTAGCTCCGTACGTACCCAAATGTGCTAATCGGAGGTGCCTATGTGCCTCTTCAAACTCTTTCAGCTTGAACTTTGATTTCCCATCTTCACCCCTCCAGTAGACTAAATCTTGAATGCACATTTCTTACGACAATGCCTGTGGAGCTGTGCCTAGCAAGCAAACGAAACAAGTTAGGAGCTGGAAGGGTGAATAAATGGCCCCAGCCTTGAAAAATGGCTGAAATGACTTCCGAGAGATGTTTTTCTCTTGGAGCCAAATTTAAAATATCGCAAACAACAAGCATAAAGAGTGTGAATTTTAAAATAACATAGATTTTGGATAAAGACACCAATTTGCATCTTATGCACATTTGCAAGTGTTTTGAAAACCTTACAGTGGCCAAAATGGGTTGAGATATTTGGATGCTGTTTGCTGTTATGGACAAAAGAGACTCAAGATGGAAATGTTCAGCAAAGCTTACAAAGCATAAGCATAGCACCACAGTGATAGTCTGTATGCTGTAAGAATGGCGTGAATACTAAACATATATTTTTGCTGTATTGATGTGCATCATGATAACGATGTTGCTGTTGTTGTTTTCCTCGCACTTTCTGTTTATAGGTGGCGTTTTGTCGCCACTTTGGAAGGGTTTAGCCAGAGATCAATCGATTACATTTTTGGCCCGCGTTCTGGGCAACTGAGGAAATGGGAGACGTCTTCTGGCGTTGCTTGGCACAAAGAGCAGCAGTTTGGGACGTTTGGGTCGATTAGATTCTGGTAATCGGCTAGCATGGAGCAGTAACCTGAACGGAGTTGAGCCAGTTTTGTGCGAGTTGCTCGGGTCAAGGATTTTTCGTCATCTGCTATGGGTGGGGGCCAACCCCCTAGCACGACATTGGGCTTGTAGGCGTTCATGCAGTGCATGGTGGCAGCGGTGTGCAAGTGGTTTAAAATTTATTTGGTGGTGCTATTTGGTGGAAGAGCGTTTAAAGTAGATTGCATGTTGGCAGAGCTGAAGGAAAGCAAGGTGGATTTCATTTTCCTAGCAGGTGCAGGGGCTTTGAGTAGCTTTGTGCAAGGATGCGTTGTCGAGTGGCATGACGCCAGATATTGATCGGTAAGAAGCTTGCAGTGTTCTTGAATCTGAAGAACTTTGGTTTCTTGGTGGAGATGGTTAATGAGCGCCATGAGGTGGCATCCTGTAGCTCGGCGAAGAGCTTGGTTTTGGGAGGTTTGGAGCTTTTGGTAACCTGTAGAGGAGAGTATTGGGCACCAAATGGGACTGGCATAATTGATGATGGGACGTCAAATGGCTTTGTAGGTTAGGAGCAAAGTCTCCTTTTGTTGACCCCAAGATGTGCCGGCTAAAGCTCGTAATATGTTGTTTCGTTTGTTAACTTTTGCATGTACGTTTCTGCTGTGTTGAGCGAAGCTAAACATGGTGTCAAAGGTTACACCATTAATTTTTGGGTTTTTTGCTAATGGGAGGCATTGGTTGTTTATTATGACGTTGGGATGTAAGTTGGCTTGATGAGGATCAGGTGTGAAAAGGGTGATTGTTGATTTAGATGTTGAGAGTTGAAGCGATCTATTGGCTAGGAAAGTTCTGAGCCGTTTTAGATAGGAGTTGATGGAGTTTTCCATTTTGGGTATATTTTGATTAGAAGTGTAAACTGTGATGTCGTCGGCATAGCTGACTACTTATACTCCTTTTGGAGGAGTTGGTAGATTGTGGAGGTAGGCATTGAACAGTGCTGGGGATATTATGGAACCTTTGGGTACTCCTACATGAATGTTTCGTGAGGAGGATTGCATATCACGAAAGAGAGTGTGTGATTGGTGGTAATTTGTAAGCCAGCAAACAAGGCCTGATGGTAGCGTAGAACCCTGTATGATGGTGATGAGTGTGAGGTGGTTAATGGCGTCGAAAGCCTTTGTAAGGTCAAGGGAGGCGACGATAGTGCGATATGGGGGCTTTTTCTCATTGAAATCATTTGAAATTTGGGTGGTTAGGTTGAGAAGAGCTGTTGTTGTTGAGCGTGCAGGGCGAGATGATGGAGGTAAGTTGGTGGTGATGATTGGAAGGATGAGGGCCTCTAAAATCTTGATTGATGGGCAAAGTAGGGAGTCAGCCTGTAGGACTTTGTTTGGTTTAGGTCTTTGCTGAGTTTGGAAGTGGGATGATTGTCCATGATTTCCAGATGGCCGGAATGAGGTTGCACTGTAGTGAGGCGTTAATGGTGGAGGCGAGAAACTTCATGCCAAGGGGGCCGAGGTGTTTGAGATGGGGCATAGCTATGCCATCCGGGCCAATTGCGGAATATTTTTTGGCTTTTTTGATAGCTAGTTTCATCTCTTCAAGGCTAAATTGGGGGGGGGGGGGGGCGTTTAGAGGTAGTTCCTTGATTTGATGGATTTTTTGACTGGCGGATTTATTGGAAGAGTGTGGGACGACTGATGAGAAAAGTTTGTTGAAGTGGTTGGCGATGTTATTGTTGTTTATGACGGATTTGTTGTTAAAATGTATTGCACAATTGGGTGGCAGTTTGGAGTGTCCCTCTAAGGCTTTGATGGTCTTCCAAAGTTTTGATGAGTTTTGCCGATGGTCAAAAGATTCAACAAACTCGTGCCAGAATTCTGTTTTGGCTTGATTGATTAGCTTTGTGATTTCAATATTGAAGGCGGGGATTTGTGGTGATGTAGGATTTTTAGTCCTCAGAGTATTTCGTAGGTTTATTAGCGTTGAGACTTCTTTAGGGAGGCAGGGAAGGTGTTGCTTGTAGCAACCCGCCGGGATGGTGTGCTTGGTGGTAGTTGCGATGATGTTTCTGAAAATCTTTTCAGAGTTATGTGTGGATGTGTGGATATGGTTGATGTTGTCGGCGAATAATGCTTCTGATTCTGAAGTAAAAAGTGGTCAATTGGCTTTTTAAAAGTTGTAATACAAGCAGTTTTTAGGAGTTTGTGAAGGCTTGGCGGCATTGAGGGTCAACACATTTGATAGGTGGTCGGATCCAAGGGCAGTAAAGACTTGCCAGTCGATTGATGAGAGGAGGTTTCCTGATGCTATTGAGATATCTGGTGAGGATGAAGGGCCAGCTGACGGAACTCTGGTTTGCATATTTTCATTGAGTATCCCATAGCGAGAGCCGTTCAAGATATCGGCAATGAGGTTGCCACGTGCACCTGAAAGGGAAGAGTGCCAAAGTTTGTTGTGGGTGTTGAAATCTCCAATAACAATTGAGTCGTTGTTTGGTAAAAGTTGATTTATATTGAACTGATAGTTGCGAGGGCAAGAACTGGTCGGTGGGATGTAGACGTTGATTATAGTGAGTGGGCATAGATGGGATTTGATACCGACGCTTAAGACTTCTGTGGTGATATCAGAAGAAGGCATTGAGATTTTATCTTCTTCAAATTGAATGCTATTATGGATGAGAAAAGCTAAACCGCCACCAGCTATTGGTCGGTCTCTATGGAGGAAAGTGACATTTTTTAAGTTGGGCGGTCGATAAGTGGATTTAAATTTTGTTTCTTGGATGGCGGCTATATTAATGGAGTTTTGTTGTAGAAAGATGCTGAGTTCAAGAGATGTGTTGTTGATGCTGTTGATGTTTAGTTGAGGGATTTTTAGGTCGTTTTTGTTGTGGACGTTTTGTTGTGGTTGAAACGGTGGTTGCGATGGATGAGGTGGTGGTGCTAGTGTGATTGTGCAAGGTGGAGTTGTTGGAGTGAATGATGTACAATATTTGCAGAACCAGCTGGAATTTGAACTGGGGATGTGGGCTAAAGTAGTGCAGCGTTTGTGGTACCAAGCTTTACAATCGTTGCATTGGATATAATTTACATTGACGTTCTTTCTGCAGCCGCCACAAGGGGAAAACGGGCCTGGATTCAATTTGACATCCCCAGCAATAACAAGAAGCCAGCCCCAGTATGCTTGGGAGGCCTGGGCTGGCTGGCGAAAAACAGGAAAGTGCGAGGGGTGATGTTGCCATTTGCAAGTGCTTTCGTAGTACTTGGTCTCTCCACTTCGAACAAACGGAAACACTGGAGAGATGATGTTGCTGTTGATGCTGCTGTTGCTGATCATGCTTCTGCTGCTTATGGTGAGGATGAAGCAGATGATGAAATGTTCACCAGAGCCATCTGCAGTATTTCATCATCTTCATCATCAATGTCTGCATCATCAACTTGACAATTTCAAAAAATTTGCCACAAATTACTCATTTGGGATTACAGAGCAATCATCACCCCCCTACTGGCACACTGACACACCACTATCTGTGGCTTGGTGCTACAATTCCGTGCCTCATTGAAGGGTGGGGCAAACCTCACACATTATCGATGTAAGAGTCTGATGAACCCTGATCGCTCGTCTCACTCCTGTAGGCGCGGCCTGCATTGGAATTCCACAAAGGCATGAAAACGAACCCTCCAGGCCAGGGCCCATTGTCCCTGCAACACTCCCAGCTCTTACCAGGAGCTCCACGGGGTCCTGCTGCTCCTGGGGCGCCAGCTTCACCTTTGCTCCCCTGCACACCTGGGGCCCCGCTTAATCCACGTTCCCCTGTGTCACCTTTGACCCCTGGAGAACCCATGGAACCCCGTTCGCCCTTTTCACCGCGCTGTCCATTTGTTCCTTAAGAGTGGAATGGATAACACTGTTTAAATAAAACTTTATTACACTTCAAGAATACATAATTTAGGTTAGGCTACGTAATGATCTAGCCAAATTTTTGGTGTGTAATTCTCCACCCCCAATATAGCCAAACTCGCTCACTGGTAAGTTGAAGAACAATTCTCACAATCATATTTTGCAATTAGATACTTTTTTTAAACTGCGTCAAACATCCAGTTAGAAACTATAAAGTCAGAATAGCCATGTCACCTCACCCAACTTGTTAAATTATTAATTGTAATATTGGCTGTGAAAACCTACAGATACAGTACTACATACATAATCAGCAATTCCCATAGAGCGCTTTTGGTGTCAGGATCATCAGTGCAAAAGGTGCCATGGATTACCTATGGCGGAAACGCAGATTATGAAAAACAAGTTAGTTGAGGTGTACTCCAGACTCTTACAGAAAACACCACAAAGCAAACTAAATGTCTGTAACAAAGCATGGTGCGGCAGTGGGCATTGGCCACGATGTTGGTACCTGCATCGCCCTTCGGTCCAGGCAAACCGCGCAGTGTAGGATCTCCAAGGGAACCCTTCTCTCCTTTAGTGCCTGGAAGGCCTGGTACTCCCACACTGCCTTTTTCACCTTCAGAGACGGCATCAGTCTTAAGTTAACATGTATTGTTTTACATGCTTATTATATTAATTTGAAGCTTTCGTGACTGCAGGAATCCACACTATTTGGTTATTTCGGTAAAGTAACGTAGGTGTCTCACTGGCTTGCCTCTCACTGCGCCACAGCTTGTGTTACACATAGACATGACATTAACCTGCTAATCTCTCTGCATAATCTCTCCCATCAACATAGTGCTAATCTTTTATTAACACTGCAGTTGTGCGCATATGCGGGGGCGATACTCTTATAAGGCGACAGAATCTAATCTCTCTCCCTAATCTCTCTCTCCATAATCTCCCCCATTAACACAACTGACGTGCTTTCGTGCGAAGATGGAATTCCTTTCCAGCTCTTTTCTTGCTGTGGTTTTCACACCTGATGATGATTGCTTGTGCTACAATCGAAACGTCGTGAGAATTTAATAGTTAAATGTGTATTATTTTATTATTTCCCTTCTACGTGACTTTACCGAAAGAACCAAGAAATTCGCATTGCTTGCACTTTGTAATGCTCATCAGATACTTCAAAATGAAGTTTCAATCAGTACACATTGCTCACTAGGCAAATTGTTGAGAAAATATGGACCCCGCAACAACGTAGTTCGGGTTGCGTAGCAGGTCCCGCACGGGCACCCAGCCCCGGAGCAGGACGCTGTCCCCGTGTAATGCCAAACAAGCACCGCCCACGCTGCTCTATCTACGTAACAATTTTCACCATCGATTAGTGACTCCAAATTTAGAAAGTGGTTATCATTCTCTTTATGCAATTTTAGTCTCGGTGAGGTAGGCCCCACCACACGCAGCCTGCCAATCGCCTAAATGTGCTGTACCCTGGTTTATAGACTGTAATGCTGTACTGCATCTTGAGAATAAGCAGCTCTTTGACCTCTGCACTGCTCACACGCCCCTGCGCATGTGGGACGTACCTGTTTCCCCCTTGCTGCCTCTCTCGGCCATTGGCCCAGGGCTGCCCGGTGGCCCAGGTCTCCCAGGCTCTCCCTGGGGCCCTGCAAGACCTGGCAAACCGGCCTCTCCTTTGAGCTCTGTTAATTTATATAAACATGCACACAGATGTAAAGGAATATATATGAAACAATAACACGTGAAAACAATGATGAAAATCATGCAATTTGCACGGATTCTGTAGCATTTCCCAACTATTCCCAGAAAAACGTGATAAGCAATTGTAACGATATGTTTAATTGGCGATCATAACATTAAATGCATAATTGAATATTTACGTTTATCGTATAATTGGAAATGCAAATATCAATATGGAATTGCCAAAGTTTCCCATCCTTGAAATGTATACAACTGAATCATCTCCATCAGCCATAGACCTCCCCCATCCTCATTCCTTCAATGGTGATTTTACTATATTTGCATCTAAATAGGTTACGATTAATACAACTGCGCTAAAGCCAATGTAAACCTGCTCATCCAAGCAGATGTCAGACACATACCACGAACTCGACTCCCATAGCGCAAGCCATTCTAACAAGCAGCTGAATCCCTCACCATAAAATTTTGATTCGACACAAAGAACATTGGAGGACAACGTTGAGCTAAGCGACGTCCCGAAAACAATATCTGGAAACCGGATCCCACCACCGAACTACTCAGCGCTGCCCTTCCCTGAAGTCAATGGAGCACATGACTTGATCGAATCCGCACGACCCATCATCACGCCAGATCTGGTCACGACCTTCATGAGTGGAACATCAAAGGAAGCCTGCAATACGACTGCAGAGATCCTGTACAAACCGTCGAGCATGTTGTGAACCACTTCCAATTTTTCATTTTATTTTATGGAGGCGCAGCAGCAGCCGCAATTCAGATCTCGAAGTTTCTACTCACCCGTTCCCCACATATATAATAATAACAACCAAATCTAAAAAGGTTACGAATGGTGATTCCAAGAATTAAATCTTGACTTAAAGCTTTCGTGACTGCAGGAATTCATATTCTTGGGTCTTTTGGTAAAGTCACATAGATAGGTTCAAAGAAAATAACAAAAAACTACCACGTTTCGATTGCAACACTAGCATTCATCATCAGGAAGAGAGGGTTAGCTTCTAAAGGTAAACTGTTTTTAAAGGTTTGAAATGGGCGTAGCTCAAATGTCAGCAGCCAATGTTGATGTAAGTGGTGGGCAGGGACAATAAACGGTGGTGGGTTTTCCCACCAAAAGGCTGCCCAGTAAAAATTTTCACGATAATGTAGGATCATTGAGCGACCTCCACTGCGGGCGCCATGAGGTGGCTCTGTTAATGTGAGAGATTAGTATGTTAATGGATAAAAAAAAGATTCGTTCATGAAGCCATCCATATATATAGACACAGACACAATTTCAATCGAGAAGATAGGTATAAACTGATGAACCATTGGAAGGACGTTATCAACCATTTTAAGTCATAACTGGCTGTGCTGTTCCCATCCTACCACCTTCCAATGTTAGTTGTTATTTTCGGATCTCTGACTGTACATTAACAGGTAAAAAAATTCACCCTAACACAGCCACATCGCTCACCGTGCTCGAGGTTTTTGGTTTGCAATCTTCCATTAACATGCTAATCTCTCACATTAACATAGCCACCTCAGGGCGCCCGCCGTGGAGGCTGCTCAACGATCCTACATTATCATGCAAAATTTTACTGGGCAGCTCTTTGATTAGTGGGAAAACCCACCACCGTCGCGGTCATTGCGCACCACTTACATTAATATTGGCTGCTGACATTTGGTCTATGCCTATTTCAAACCTTTATAAACAGTTTACCTTTAGAAGCTAACCCCCTCTTCCTGATGACGAACGCTTGTGTTGCGATCGAAACGTCGTAGTTTTTGGTTGTTATTTTCTTTGAACCTATCTATGTAACTTTACCGAAAGACCCAAGAATATGATTCCAAGAATTCCATCAGGATTCCAGACAAGGGATCATAGGCATTACACAGCACACAAAACATGAGAATTACAAATCAGATTTTTAGCACAGAAACCATGAATTTGTGGACTCGTCGTGTGGCTGACGTGGGGTACTGTGCTCATAATGAACATGTGAATGCCACTCATTCTATTCCCATAAGCTTTGCTCAGTCATCTTTCCCAACCAAGTTACATTTTTTAACGAAACCCTCAGCCTTCATTTATTTTATGAAGGCACCTATGCATGATTATTAACGAATACATGCTACAGAGAGCAATGCATATCCAGTCAAGACCCATTCTCCCCTTCAGTTAAATTGTCACTGCAGTGAGAACTCCTCAAATTCCATTGCACTTACCTTGAATGTTAGACAGCTTGAATGTTATAGCTTCCATTTCCACTGTTAGTTGATGTATTCTCTCTTCCACAGACAGCTCTAAATCTGCAGAAAATCAAACACACAGCATCACTGAACGTAAAAACAAAAGCCCCCGTTGAACATGAATACAATGGGATGTGGCACATTTTGATCACGACGCTAGCACACAATGGCCCACTAATTTCGAATGACGACAGGGAATATTTAACGTCCAATGTGAAGCAGACAAAACGTAGTAGTTTTTGGTTAATACACACCATGGTAATAACCAGGGCGATATGGTAGTTACCATGATGGTGTGTTGTTATTTGGCTGCTAGAAATTTCCACGTGATAAGCCACTTCGTTGAGCTATCACTTGTGGACAGGCCATTTCTGAAAAAGAGCTACATAGATCTTGACTTAAAGCTTTCGTGACTGCAGGAATTAATATTCTTTGGGTCTTTCGGTAAAGTCACGTAGGTAGGTGATGGTTTTGATTGGGTCCTCAGATGATTATTTCCCACTGGTTTGGGTGATAGCTTTACGGATTGTGTAGTCTGAATATCCATTCATCTTGAGAGCTTGGTGTACGCGTTTCACTGACTAGGTGATGATGGTCAGAAATACATCTAGCTCTATGGTGTAGAGTTTTGATGAGGGAATTATTCTGGGATGGATGGTGGTGAGAGTCAGGTTTTGCCATAAATAGCAGGGGTCACCAAATGGATTTCCAAAATCATGAACAAACACAAGATCCAGGTTTGATTTAACACAGTACATAAAATTCGTCATCTGATCTCGTCTGTGAAGGATGTGATCCCTGACATGCAATACCCCGGCGTTTACAAACTAAGCTGTGTCTGCAGCAGTACTTACATTGGGGAAACTTAAGCGAAATGTATCGGACCGTGTTCGTGAACATAAGGCAGATCTGAAACACGGTAGGACCAATACTTCGGCCATGGCTGATCATTGTTTCAATGCAGTGGACTCACACGAAATAGATTTCTTGAAGAGGAAGGTACTATTCAAACCCACTGGCTATCAATAAAGATTCGTTCATGAAGCCATCTATATATATATAAAATCGTGAATGTCTGTCTGTCTGTCTGTGGATGTCGGACCATACGCACTTTCATTGGACGCCGGTTGCCCCTGCCATCGGCTAGCGACGCCTTCGCCGCTTTCATTGGACCTGGCAACGGCTAGCAACGCCTTCGCCTCTTTCATTGGACGGCGGTTGCCCCTGGCAACGGCTAGCGACGCCTTCGCCAAGGGCTGCAGTTTCATTGGACGGCGGTTGCCCCTGCCAACGGCTAGCCACGCCTTCGCCACTTTCATAGGCTCCGTAAATAATTAAATAATAGCCATTACACAGTATTGTTGGAGCGCTAGGTGGGGGGGGAAGGAACGCCACCCGTACCCTGCCTCTGCCGGGTGGCCAATTTTGGCGAGGCCGCAGGCTCTGCACGCTACTAGGCCTCGACACCCACCACGCCACTCTGAGGTAAATTCCTCAAAGTTTTTCCTACTCTTCACTGCACCCCCACCACAATGTGTGCAATTTATATTACTTTTAAACCCAACGCGCCAACAATCGATTACTTAAATGTTCACTGTACAAATAGTCATTAAGCTGGGTCAGTGTACTGCCAGTCTATCATGTAGACTCTAGCCTGCTTATTAAACTCGGTGAGCGTACTGCCACTCTATCATGTACACTCTAGCCTGCTTATGAAGCTGAGTGCGTGTACTGCCAGTCTACAATGTGGACTGTAGCCTGGTTATTATAATCGATTATTTATATGTTCTTTGTACAAATAGTCATTAAGCTGGTTGAGCGACCCCAGTTCGATTCCAACTCACGCCCACCACCGCTGACGATTATTTGAAACGGACCTGGGCCTCCCCTAGGTCGACTCAGCCTCAAACGCGTAACTGCTGTCGTGTGTGAACATCGTCACTGGGGAGACAAAGGCGGCCGGCCATCGTGGATCCAAGTCTCGGGCGAAGCCGGGTCATGTGTATGTGTGTATGTGTTTATGTGTATGTCTGTGTGTCTCTATGTATGTGTGTATGTATGTGTGTGTATGTGTTTGTGTGTATGTGTGTGTGTATGTATGTGGGTTTTTTTGTATGTCTTTATGTGTATGTCTGCGTGTCTGTATGTATGTGTGTATGTACGTGTGTGCATGTGCTTGTGTGCATGTATGTGTGTGTGTATGTATGTATGTGCGTGTATGTGTTTCTGTGTATGTATGCGTGTGTATGTATGTGTGTTATGTGTGTGTCTGTGTGTCTGCATGTATGTGTGCGTGTATTGTGTATGTGTTTGTGTGTATGTATGTGTGTGTTTGTGTGTATGTGTTTGTCTCTGTCTATGTATGTGTCTGTATGTGTGTGTATGTGTTTGTGTGTATGTGTGTGTATGTATGTGTGTGTATGTGTTTGTATGTGTTTGTGTGTTTACGCGCATTACACAAATGTGTTGCAGGTCTAAGGCGTTCCTCACGCAGCATTGCCGCTTTATTATTTCAGTCGTTTACTGCCGTACGCACCCTGAAAGTCGTGTGTCTGCAGCAAGCGCGTGTATGTGTACCTATGGACGCGCGCGCGTGTGTTGTGTAGGGGGAACGGTAGTGTAGTGCTTAGCGTGCTGTCTGTGTCTGTGTGTGTGTCTGTGTGTGTGTCTGTGTGTGTGTGCGTGAGCCGGGCGGTAGTGTAGCGGTTAGCGCGCTGCGCTGTGAACCTGGCGACCCGGGTTCGATTCCCGCTCACGGCTAACACCATGTGACGATTATCTGAACCGGTCCCGGGCCTCCCCTAGGTCGACTCAGCCTTAAATGAGTACCTGGTGCGGTGTGTAAACATCGCCACTGGGGAGACAAAGGCTGTTGGGCGTGGTGCTGGCCACCCACCCCCTCGTGTACCGTTCCGGCCTTCATAGGTGCTCGCTAACAGCACTTGCCCCTACAGTCTGTTAAGGCTATACGGGGGATCTTTGTGCTGTGTGTGTGTGGGGAACGGTAGTGTAGTGCTTAGCGTGTGCCGTCTGTGTGTCTGTGTGTGTGTGTGTCTGTCTGTGTGTTGCTGTGTGTGTCTGGTGTGTCTGTGTGTGTGTCTGCGTGTGTCTGTGTGTGTGTTGTGTGTTGCGTGGGTGTCTGGTGTGTGTCTGTGTGTGTGTCTGCGTGTGTGTCTGGTGTGTGTCTGGTGTGTGTCTGTGTGTGTGTGTCTGTGTGTGGTTGTGTGTGTGTCTGTGTGTGTGTCTGTTGTGTGTCTGTGTGTGTGTCTGTGTGTGTGTCTGGTGTGTGTGTCTGTGTGTGTGTCTGGTGTGTGTTCTGTGTGTGTGTCTGTGTGTGTGTGTGTGTGTCTGTGTGTTGTGTCTGTGCGTGTGTGGTGTGTGAGGAGCGGTGGGTGTAGTGCTTAACGCTACGCTGCGCTACCAACCCGGCGAACCGAGTTCGATTCCCGCTCACGGCCACCACCGGTGACGATTATTTGAACCTCCCCTAGGTCGACTCAGCCTCAAACGAGTAACTGGTGTGGCATATTAACATCGGCACTGGGGAGACAAAGGCGGCCGGGCGTGGTGGATCCAAGTCCCGGGCGAAGCCGGGTCATGTGTATGTGTGTATGTGTTTATGTGTATGTCTGTGTGTCTGTATGCATGTGTGTATGTATGTGTGTGTGTTTGTGTGTATGTCTGTGTGTGTATGTATGTGGGTTTTTTTGTATGTGTTTATGTCTATGTCTGTGTGTCTGTATGTATGTGTGTATGTACGTGTGTGTATGTATGTGTTTGTGTGTATGTATGTGTGTGTGTATGTATGTGTGTGTATGTGTTTCTGTGTATGTATGTGTGTGTATGTATGTGTGTTATGTGTGTCTCTGTGTGTCTGCATGTATGTCTGTGTGTATTGTGTATGTGTTTGTGTGTATGTATGTGTGTGTTTCTGTGTATGTGTGTGTTTGTGTGTATGTGTATGTCTGTGTGTATGTATGTGTGTGTATGTGTTTGTATGTGTTTGTGTGTTTACGCTCGCATTACACAAATGTGTTGCAGGTCTAAGGCGTTCCTCGCGCAGCATTGCCGCTTTCTTTTTTCAGTCGTTTACTGCCGTACGCACCCTGACAGTCGTGTGTGTCTGCAGCAAGCGCGTGTATGTGTACCTATGGACGCGCGCGCGTGTGTTGTGTAAGGGGAACGGTAGTGTAGTGCTTAGCGTGCTGTCTGTGTCTGTGTGTGTGTGTCTGTGTGTGTGTGTCTGTGTGTGTGTCTGTGTGTGTGCGTGTGTGGTGTGTGGGGAGCGGTAGTGTAGTGGTTAGCGTGCTGTCTGTGTGTCTGTGTGTGTGTCTGTCTGTGTGTGTCTGCGTGTGTCTGTGTGTCTGTCTGTGTGTGTGTCTGTGCGTGTGTGGTGTGTGAGAAGCGGTGGGTGTAGTGGTTAACGCTACGCTGCGCTACAAACCCGGCGAACTGAGTTCCATTCCCGCTCACGGCCACCACCGGTGACGATTATTTGAACCTCCCCTAGGTCGACTCAGCCTCAAACGAGTAACTGGTGTGGCGTATTAACATCGCCACTGGGGAGACAAAGGCGGCCGGCTGTGGTGGATACAAGTCCCGGGCGAAGCCGGGTAGTACAGCTAGTCCATATATATAGACACAGACACAATTTCAACCGAGAAGATGGGTACAAACTCAGCAATCATTGGAAGGACGTTATTAACCAGTTTAAGTCATAACTGGCTGTGATGTTCCCAGCCTACCAATTTCCGATGTTAGTTGTTATGTTCGGCTCTATTATTTTTTACATTAATAGATATAATTTCTCACTAACACAGCTACTTTGCGCGCCATCCTCGAGGCTGCTACTTCACAATCTTGCATTAACATGCTAATCTCTGACATTGACATAGCCACCTTGGCGCACTCGCCGTGAAGGATGCTAATTTTTGTCTGGCAGCCCTTTGATTGGTGGAAAGCCCCCCACCGTCACGGTCGCTGCCCACTACTTGCATTGGCATTGGCTGCTGACATTTGGCCTATGCCCATTTCAAACCTTTATAAGCAGTCGTCTTTAGAAGCTAACCCCCCTTTTCCTGATGATGACCGCTTGTGTTATGATTGAAACGTCGTAGTTTTTTGTTATTTTATTTCAACCTATCTACGTGACTTTACCGAAAGACCCAAAGAATAGAGCTACATAGCTCAGTGGACCGAACCTAGAAGAATAAAAAAATAGTTAAAATATATTTTGTATTGTTTAAATAGAAGTTAGAACCTCTGAAAATTAGCGTTATATGCACGACCACTGGGCAGGTCCCCGCCCTACCTGGTTTCAACATTCTGGTGAGCGCAGCTGACCCCGCTGGGGGAGTGCTCCACTCACAATGCAAAGGTCATGCAAATTCTGGAGCCCATTGCTTGCTCAGTTTATAAAGTAGCTAACATGTGGAAAGCTGACAGTAAGTGTACTAATATAGGTCGTCACCTAGGAATGTGGAATTTCCACCATTTGCTGCCAGCTGTCAATGGAGATGAGCACTGGTTGATTCTGATTTGAGTACGAATGCAATTTTACTGAAAGCAGTCACGATTACATTGAGGCCTGTATTCTTAGTCACAACTCAGCTCAGGTTCGAATCTGGCTCAAGTGAGCATGGGCCCAGCCATGCTCGGGATTTCCATGAGCCGAGTCTGCGCCGAGCCGCTCATGTGACTTTAGAAGTAGCTGAGCGGCTCAAGCCTGAGCTAGGCCTGAGTGTTAGAGGCTGAGGCAGAGCCAAGCCGTGGCTAAGAATTCGGCCTAAACATTATACAGGCGTGTCTTGCTTAATGAATAAGTCCCTAGAAAATTGCTCGGCAAGTGAACACTCGTAAAACGATAATCGTTTTCCCATTCACTCCCATGTTAAAAACTGAAGTACGTTTCAACTCCAAAAGTTTCCACTCTTGAACAAATAAAGTAAGAAAATATATAACACTTACCACACATGACAAACCACAGTGCTTGCAGATCTCTGTCCTCAGCGTTTGTAATTAATTAGCGCCACCGCCCCCCACCGACCCATTACAGCACAACTGGCAAACAAACAGCTGCGAGCCGCCGTGTGCCCCGTCATCTCCGCTCGCTAAACAAACATTTTGCTCGTTTTGCGAACAAGTTGGTCTAAATTAAAATTGATCGTTTTAGCGAATTCTCATGTAAATAACGCTCGTTAAGCGAAACGAGCCTGTGGTGTCTCACCTGTGTTTAAAGCATGATGAGAAGAGTCAGAGTGATTATTCATGTCACCTCTTGGCATTATATTCTTCCCAAAAACTCCCGATGGTAAATCTGTATTGTACAGTGCAACACACCCAAGACATGCATTGCGACCCATGCATAAATATGAACCACTTCACACACTCTGGCCAATTCACTACGCAATGCGTCCATTCAGTCTCGTCCTGTGCTTTTATTTACAGAACTCTGCATCAGACATCTCCCGCCTCTCTTTTCCTAAACATTTACATTCTCTTCTACCTTTTCTGAATACAACGCTCATATCCTATTATGAATATATATTTATTCTATCTCTTATTTTTCTCTCCACGTATTCCCTGTATATTCTGAATACATCTCTCCTGTCTTCTTCTGAATGCACCTCATTAGCCTCCTCCGGTAGGTAAGTATGAGTTGGCTTGGCCACGTAGCCCGCATGCGCAGCCACTCCACGGCACGTGCTAGAGAAGAGTTGGACTGATGTGGTACGGGAGGATTTGAAGCTGAGTGGACTTGCAGATGACTGATACCAGCGGTGCCAATATCGGCCTCCGTGAAAGAGGCTTGTGAAGGACGCTACTGGGCAGTGTGCTAGGCTAGGTACACTCGAAGGCTACTGGGCATTTGGAGGCATCTCTTTTTAGCGACAACGGGGGGCGTAGGAGCGACAGTGAACTCAATAATCAGAGTGCCGGGCAGCTAAAACACAGCATGGTGGCATGGGTCTGTCACGTCATCTCCGACCAGACACACACTACTCACCAAAAAAATCTTGCCAGATACTCTCTATTCACCAGCCACCATGCACCGCACACCCGCCACTCACTAGACACTCACCTGGCACAATTCACCAGTCACTCATCACTCCCCTAACATTTACATAACACACTCACCTGACACTCACATCTCATCACATCAGAAACTCCCATGACAATACATATTCATCAGACAATACTTACCTGACACTCACCAGACACCCACCAGACACCACTTATCATGCACCACACTCACTTCTCACCTGACAATCTCACCAGACATTAGCCACTCACCATTCACCTGACACCTCTTATCAGACACTCACCAGATATACACAATTCACCTGACATCCAATTATCATCGAACATTAACTATCCAATCTCAGTACTGACCGTACGTGACTCACCTGACAATCCCCACTCACGATGCACTCTCCACTCACACCCAGCAGCACCACCGCTGTGTGCAGGTCTTGGTCTTACCTTCGCGTCAGCCTTCAGAGGCGCTCGCTAACAGCACCTTGTCTAACAGTTGGTCTCAACCCAAGGACACCAAGTTCAAAGAGCAGTGTATGTAACGCGCACGAAGGGTGATGTCCAATGAGGATAGAAGCAGAAATTAGAACACCCGAAGGGCGAGGGTCACGAGATTTTAAGCGTTTTTTAGAGGGCCCTACATTAATTTAAAAGTATGCAATGTACATTATTTGATGAATATCAATAACTTAGGGGACAATCTCCCCGTCACCTCCCCTCGGACCGGTCATTAGGGATGCTCTGCGTGGCTGTGAATGAATTGTTTCAAATTTGCTTAAGAGGTTCTTACTTTTCGGTGGAGTGTTTTGAGTGAAGAATCGTTCTGTGGAAACAAATATTTATCACAATTGCAATTTAGTCACGGCAACAGTGATCATTATTATTCACTACGCTTGTTAACCCAGAAAAGCCTCACCGAGACTCTTTTTTAAAGAGGGCCCTGCCGAGTTTTACAGGTACTTGAGAATCCGGATAAAACCCATTTCAAACAGGGGGAGAACACGCACACTCCACAGAGAAAGGCGCCCGAGTTGCGAATCCAACACAGGCGCTTCTTGCTGTAAGGCACCAATACCGTACTGTACATGCATTTGGTAATTTATGTCCGTGTCATATCGTTATTAAACAACGTAAACTGAAGCTATTCTAATTTATGTATTATATATTTATATTTAATGATATTCAGTACATTTACTGAGTAACATTGAGGCTATAACCCAATATAATATAACGAGAAAAGTCATTCCTTTCACAACCTACTTTCTTTCTCGAGGAGTCTGGTTCACGCTGATGTTAAACTAAAACAATTTTATATTTGACCAGGTAAAGCCTACTGAGCTATACAGCTCTTTTTCAGAAGGTACCTGGCCACAAATGACATCTCAGCGAAGGCTTATTACGTGAAAATGGATAGCAGCCAAATATTATAAAAACACACGTTTCTAACTCGAATACTCTAAGCGCTTATTTCTAACTCTAAACGTTTGTTTCTAACTCTAATACAATACTCTAAAAACACATTTCTAACTAGAATACTCTACACGCATGTTTTTGTAACTCTCCCACCACCCTCCAACCTGCCCGGCTTTCCTCTGCAACGCTTCAGCCTCTTCCTTCTCTCCCTGACCCTCTCCCTCCGATTCCCCTTCCTGATGGGCACTCCCCCCACTCTACTGGCGGCGCTCTCCCTCGTGTGCGGCATGCAGCACCTCCTTTGGCTCACCTGTCGGCCTCACCAAACTACCCCCTCCCTCGGCTCTGACAACCCAAACAGTCCCCTTCTTCGCGTGTACATAATTAACATACTTCGCTGTACAATTACAGTAACACCAATTAAACCCCATGAGCCGCTTTATATTTAAAATACCATTCATATGCAGCATTTTTCTTCCGCATTATCTTGATAATATCAATGAACCTCCGTAATCTCTTGAAACGTACTTACTGAACCGTTACCCAATTTGATTGATATCATTACTCACCAGCCCTGTTATATGATTAACGATGACGTTTGCGATATGAATGTCTAGCTCTGTGCCTCGGTCGATTCAACCTCAAATTAGTACCTGGTACGGTGCGTTAACACATCGCAACTAGGGATACAAAGGCGGCTGGGCGTGGTGCTCCCACCCAAGCCTTCGTGTGCGGTTCTGGCATTCATAGGTGCTCACGAGCAGCACTTGCCCCAACAGTCTCTTAAGGAAATACGGGGGATCTTTGTCTTGTCTTTGTCACATCCGTACCATAGTAGAGGAATCCGCAAGCGACGAATGAAACTCCACTCAGTACAAAGAGCACAATGAGCACGAACATCAACCAGCATGGCATCTTGTGTTTCGCCTCGCCATCTAATCACCACACAGTGCACACACACGCATCAAACACACGCATGTAAGCTAGAACCATTAGGTATGCAGTACACATAATAACATCTCAGAGCCGCATACGCATAAGTCACAATTTAGAATATGCTGAAAATGGACATGTATTTTATTCATACTTTGAAGCAATCACAAATTTATTGCAAAATACAGCCATCAACGCATTCATTATGGCAGGCATCAAGCATCTATCCATTAACTAATGCATCCATACATTAATTCGATTAGTATTTATTTTCCATAATAGAGGTTTTTGGGTTAGATCGCGTAAATATAAATGTGTCGTTAAACCCGCCAACACGACGCAGCCAATTAAGTAAGGTTTGTTACGTGAACAAAACGTGTCAATTATTTACTAGTTCAGCACACCGGTATGTTGGAGAGTAAACCAACAACATTTACAATTCGAGTATTAGAGTTAGTTTCTGGCCGTCGCCTGATGAGGCGGGTTGTGAGTACCGGCGAAACGTCGCACTCGAATTCATATCTACGCAATCTAACCCAAAAATCTCTTTCTGGATAATATTGGTCGCGAAAGCCTACTACGTGTTAAACTGATTCATTATTTTATTCGTTCATTCATGATTTAATTCATTAATCCACTCATGCATGCATTAAATGATCCATGCATCCCTTAATGCATTCAACCATTCCTTCATCCACGCATCTCGGCATCACTGTAGTTTACGCGCTGTCTGTGCGATGCGCGCTGCCTGTGTCATGACCAAGTCTGGACCTTGTCGCAGTCAGACGGGTTCACGTTTGATTTTAACTTGTAACTTCATCACTCGAATACAACAGCAACAACGACTGTGTCCTCAGCGTTAGTGTGTGAGTATGTGACTAAACTGTCCTGTCTCCTCGTGCTGCTCTGCCCTGTTTCTCCCGTCTCTCCAATTACTACGTACGGTGCGAAATAATTCGACATACGTCTCTCGGTCTCGGTCTCTCTCGACCTCTACACAGCGCCTTCCCGTCCGTCCCTTGTCATACCTCTGCTAATTCACCCTGCCTCCTCCTACTCTTCCCCTCCGATGGTTGACGCCAGCTCTCTTCTTGCCCTCTCGATCTCCCTCCTGTCGTCCCTTGTGGCTTCTTCGTCCTCCTGCTATTGGCGTCTCTTCTGCACTTTGCCATTCCCCTCATTGTCAATGACGCGGCTAGAGGCTCCCGCACGGCGACCCCAACACCCTGGGCTGCCCGCCTGCCCGTACCTCCCCCACCCATCCGCCACAATGCCTGCAACCCTCCGTCGAAGTCCTGCGAATCGGGGAAAAAGGTCGCCTTCCCATTCACCAGGACCTCATGAACGTCCCTCGTCATCGCTTCAAGTCTACGCCGCAAGCCCTTTTGGACCCATGGACTCAACCTTCAACAATGTGAGTTCAACCCCGACGAAGCTTGGAGAGCTGAATGGCATTCAAAATAACTCACAAACAAACACCTTGTGAAAGACCAAACGCAGGAGATCTCTGAGTTTCATCTTCCACGAAGCTCATTTTCCACCCTAAACTGCATCCAATGCACAAACCATGACAGATGCGGATACCTGACGCACAAAAGGACGATGACCATAGTGTGCGACTGTGGTCATTCAAAACAACATATAACGATCCATAAATACGAAGGAGATATCACAGCGATATACTCCGCTGCTCCTGACGCGGTTGTCTGGCTGAGACCGCCTAAATGTGGAATTGTAGTTGTTGCTCTGCCATCTAGATCAGCAGCCGGACAGAAGAAGAAGAAGACACGGCTGGAGCGACGCGGGGCTGTGTCGCTCTCCTGTTAACCGCGCAGTTCTGGTTGCCGAGAAGAGGGGACTGAGCGACACGTTCACCCTGTTATCTGCACACATCCACTTTTCCTTACGGATAAGGGGATGCACAAAATACAGATAGCCTGCGTGTGGATAATAGGACTGCCACTGTTGAAAATCATAAGGGGAAATAAATAAAAGCGGAAGCTGGAGCCGAGCGTCTGGAGCGGTGGCTCGATTTACCATGCCACGCATTACATTCTGCACGCTACCATCGTGACTGCTCGTATTGATCAGCGTCTCCTTCACGAGTCTCTCCCTTCGCATAAAACACACCCTCCACACGAGTCTCTGTTTGTCCACATCCCGCCATGGCAGCGTTGTGCTCTTGGGAGCGCACAAAGCGTTTGGGGCATCTCTCTGGAGGTGTGGGTGCGTGTTGCCTATCGGTGCTGCTCCTGCGTTGTTTCCCGGCAGCTGTGAGGGGATCGGAGCCCGTACCCTGGCCGAGGCTGTACTCCCCGGTGGGGCTCAGGCAGCGTCGGCTGGATGACGGCTCCGCGACGTTGCTCATCAGCAGCTCTTGGCCACCCAGATTGATCCACTCCGCGGCGGCGGCTCCCATCCTCTCCTCGCGTCCAGGGTCACCTCTCCTCACCTCCTCGCCCGCCTTCTATGAACAGCCGTGCGTTTAGCGTCATCGACATCTGAAAGTCGGGTTTTTTGTTTACATTTCATCATCAATTCACATCTATTTGTTTTAGTTATATAAATAATAATGACCTATTTACCCAGGAAATTCCCATTAAGTTAGAATACTCCTTTTTCAGGAGGGCCCTGCTACATTGGGATACTTGACCAACACCAATAACATTGTGGGCGTGTTTAGCTATGAAACCGCATAACCTGGAGGAAACCGATGTAGAACAGGGGAAGAACATACAACTTACACTCTCCACACAAATCTCGCAATCTTACTCACACCACATTCACACACTCACACCACATTCACACACACACACTACTCACACCACATTCACACACTTACACCACATTCACACACTCACACATCACTCACTCCACATCCACACAAAATACTAAACACATTCACACATGCTAAATTCCTTTTGATATGCAAATTCTTTTGTCAAGGCGCTCTTCTTCCCCCCTCCAAACCAGCTTAAATATACGCTCCAAGCTTGGTGGTATTTCATTCTTCACCTGAGGACGGCTGCTTGCGTTGTGGCCGAAACGTCGTGAGAATTATTTTATTATGTTTTATTTTTATTATTTTATTACTTCCCTTCTACGTGACTTTACCGAACGAACCAAGAAGACATTCACACACTCACATACCACTCACACCACATTCACTCACTCACGCAACACTCACACTCTGTAGAACAGGAGAACATACGAGCTCCGCACAGAAGGTGCCCGAGTCAGGAATATAACCCACAAGTGTTACCACTGCGCCACCCAGTTACCCAAGCAAGTAGCACGGTAGATACAGACTCCGGTGTGTACTGCACGTGTCATCGTGAAGGGTGCTCACTCGCGCGCCCTGAGTGAAAAGAGAGGAAGCGGCAAAGGAGTACGCGTACCTGAGTCTCCCCGCGTCTCCCTCTGAGTCTCCCCGCGTCTCCCTCTGAGTCTCCCCGCGTCTCCCTCTGAGTCTCCCCGCGTCTCCCTCTGAGTCTCCCCGCGTCTCCCTCTGAGTCTCCCCGCGTCTCCCTCTGAGTCTCCCCGCGTCTCCCTCTGAGTCTCCCCGCGTCTCCCTCTGAGTCTCCCCGCGTCTCCCTCTGAGTCTCCCCGCGTCTCCCTCTGAGTCTCCCGGAGTCTCCGGGACCTCAGTTGGACTCCTCCTCTTTATACGAGCAGGGTCGGTCTCCCCATGAGTCCCCTCCGTGAGTCATCAACATCCTGAGGTAATCCATGCGTGAATCTCAGATTGTGAACATTTGCGCAGTGGTGGAACTACTTTTGCTGTGTCGTGAACAAGTAAAAAAACGAAATCTAAACCGCTTCGGTTAGCAACTAATGCGCAGTGAGTTACAGTGCAGTCAGTGAACACTCAGAGCGAAAATCACGCAGCCTCATTTGTGAGTTATAATGCAAACGAGTGACTTCCGAAATGCAATGTTGTGTGAAAACACCATATATACTACAAATGCGATGTTAAAAGAGAGACAAGAGATCGTAGTGCATGTTTTATTGTTAATTTCTGAAAATAAAAGCAACAGCCTATGTTATGATTGATAAAATATGTTTGGGTTATGCAACATATATTTTGTGTTCTTTTGCAATATTGGTGATCGATGCCACTTTTGGTCTATTGAGTTGTCACCGGGTTAAACAAAATACATTTGAAACCTAAAACTATTATCACAATACAGAGCAGTAAACTGTGGGCATGGTTATGGTGACGCCAACATTGGCGGGAAGGTTTCGCTGGTTCATGCAGAATGGCAGAGAGCGCAACGTGGGGGTGTGGCATGTGCGGAAACACTCCGAAGGCATGGATGATCGTTCCACGCAACATTCAGGGCAGCCTTTTTGTGCTCTAAACTTATCGGAAAGTGGCAAGAATGAAGGATTGGGTGCATATGAAATGAACAGTGATGATAATTAACGCAAAATAATACAAAGATGGCGATGTCGATGATTGATGAATGCTGCCCGCATGTTGAAAGGGTCGCAATGCTTCACCATGAAGAGATCAGCGTGAAAGTCCTGAGCGACTCATTAAAAATCACGTAATTTTACTTGCTGCTTGTGAAAATAACAAATAAAATGCAGGGACTTACGGTCGCTGTCATGTATCGACTGCCGTCTTCATCGCTGTCAGAATTATTTTCTGAGCTTCCAGGTATGTTCGACTGTGGGTCACGTGGTTCTCACTACATCATCTGGAATGACCTGAAGTGTCCCGGACTGACCGGTTCTTAAATACAAAATTATCTCGCAGAGATTATCAATAGTCGCAACATGTCGCTCAGGAAATATACTGGATCACATCTTCACATCTTATGATGCCATAACTGTGACCGACGTTGTTATCGAAGATGTGGATATTTCAGATCACAGTCTCGTGACGTGCAAAGTGGCATTTTCGATTATTCACCCACCTGTTACAACGATATCAGACAGAGACTGTAAAACGACTGGACCAGATGCTACATGTCAGAAGATCCGGTCATAATCGGCGTGTCTAAGTCCTGCAGCGACCGTCGATTAATTTGCATCACAACTGTTCTTGATGAACCCATACCCATCCGGTCACGCAATACAAGAACAGAGAAAGTACATAATAACTGGCTGTCCCGGAGGCAATCACTGCAAAGCAGACGTGGAGGATGCTGGAATGAATTTGCAAGAAAACTGGTTTCGAGGCTCTCCGACTGCAGGTCTGCCAACGGACTCATTATTGAATCTCACGGATCTTTCTGTGCTCTGTGTGTCAACAAGTCAGCTCGCAAACTCCATCCTCTGTGGCGGGTCGTGAAGGGTCTGCTGCACTCCAAACACCCATCAACTAGTCAATCCGGTCTGTGCACAGTACTTGCGATGTTCTTCGCCAATAATATAACGATCAAGACGGCAGTTTCCAACTTGAATGCAACGCATTCTGCCAGTCTGCCATCTGAGTTTGATCAACCTGGAACCAATACAAAACTCGAGATCCTGGCACCAGCGTCGGTGGCAGAGGTGTCGATCTTCATCATATGGCTGCCAAAAAAGACATCTCCGCTCGACTAAATCCACGCGTCGTCGATTCTCAAATCACATTCAGACGTGCTTGTGCTGCTAATTTCCCACCTGGAAATGTTTTTGTTCAGACCATTTAAAAATAGCGCAGGCAACACCACTCCTGACATAAGCTGGCTTAAGCCATAGTGACCCCACAACCTGTCGCCAAATCTCAAACCTGAGTATGATTTCAAAGGTCATAGCGTGCCTTTGTCTGAAGCGGTTACTTCCCCCACATCGCTGCAACAGGCAGATGCAACCCGTTGCAGTTAGCATACTGGAAGTTCCACAGGACTGAGACTAAAGATCACTGATGACCTCTACAAGATCACGGATGACCGTTGCGCCGCATCGTTTATTAGCTTTGATCTGTCAGATGCATTCGACACCATCGACCATGGGATATATATCGGGGACTGCACTGAGGTGGCTTGAGTCATACCTACATTGTCAATCACAGTTCTGCAAGATGGGTGACGAACAGTCATCGCCTATGCCGTACCTAGTTGGCACACTACAGGGGTTCGTCCTCAGTGCCTTCCTATTTTAAACATACATCTCTCCAATTGCCGATGTCATCTCATCGCATGATATCAAGTTCCATCAATATACCGATGACACAATTATACACCGCAGTGAAGTCAAAGTTAGATATGGAAAGCCTTGGTAACCTCGAAGATTGCATGTAAGTAATGCACGTGTGGTGTGCACGAAACGAAATGCTGCTTAATCCACAAAAATTGGACGTCCTGCTGTTGGCACTCAGGCTCAGGCTAAACAATTTGTGGGAGGTCCAGGTGTGGTGGTTGTAGACTCCAGGAATAATTTTTCTACTCATCTAAAGAGCCTCGGTACTGTACTTAACCAGAATATGTTCTTTAATCACCACGTGCAAAATATAGGTCCTGCAATTTTCATATCAGGGCTCTATGACACATTCAACCATCATTGAGTCGTGGCATAGCCAACACGTGGCGGGTAGCATTGTATCGACAATCCTCGATGATTGCAATTCACTACTCAACAGGACGTCTGTAAAAAAACTCGACCAAGCTGCAGCGTGTACAAAATACTTTGGCATGTGTCATGACGGGTACTTAAAGATTTGACCGTGTCCATCCAGTGGTCGCCGAGCTGCATTGGCTTCTGGTTGCCGAATGAATTCATTATAAGGTCGCACTCACGATACCTTGCTGATCTCGTCAAGGAGCATAAACCATCACGTGAACTCCAGTCATCTTCGCAGCGACTTTTGGCTAACCATCGAACAAAGACAGTCACTGCATCACACGCTTTCATTTGCACTTCTGCGGCTGTTTGGAATGCTCTTCCTTCCATTATTGGGAAGCCACTGGTGTTTTACAATTTTAAATGTAGATTGAAACTCATTTCTTTAGAACTGCTTTATTTTTAGTTTGTTGTCTTTCCCCACGCCTCCGATTAGCACAGTTGGCTACGTATGGTGTGAAGGAAGTTCTACATACATACATACTGTATATACATTATGGATACATATGAAGTATTGGAAATGACGGCAGGAACTTCTTGACGGGTAACACACTTTTATTAAATCTTGACGTGTCACAATACAACGTGTGGTCTCTATTCTTTGTACTATACACTCCACTTAACTCGTGTAGACTCTATGCCTCTGGCTACACACAATACACTTGACTCGTGTAGACCCTATGCCTCTGGCTACACACAATACACTTGACTCGTGTAGACCCTATGCCTCTGGCTACACACAATACACTTGACTCGTGTAGACCCTATGCCTCTGGCTACACACAATGCATTCGGCTCGTGTAGACCCTATGCCTATGGCTACACACAATACACTCGCCTCTGGGTTACACAGAGTCCCGGTCCCGTTAGGACAGCGGGACTAGGTACCGCAGGGCCCTATATCTTCGATCCCCGTCTTCATTCTTCGCTGGTTACATACTGCCCTTACGCCTGTGTGCCTCCCCTTTTATAGCCCCTGCTCACGGGAGACGGAGCTGATGCGGACGACTACGTGAGCATCGCTCCTTAGTTAACCAATCACGACGCGCTCTCTCTACGATCCGTTTTCCCCCAGCGCGTGTTAACACTACTCCACCAATCACACCGCGCTGTCACCTGATCACTCCCTCTCAGCGCGTCACCGGCACACAGCCAATCAGCACCCCGTAACCCACGACCCCGCGCTGACCCCTGATCCTCCACCGTCAGCGCGCGTCACCACATACACAGCCAATCATTACGCGCTGGCATACGATCCCTAATCCCAGCGCGTATCACCACTACATCACCCCCTCCCACATAGCTTGCAGCCGGCCCGGCTGTTAACCAACAACACAACCCAACGTCAACGCAATAATAAAAAAAAAGAACCCCACCCCCCAGTGTGCCCCGTAACGCAACAACGACAACACAACAACAACACTTAAATAAGAAGCAATATACAGCCCGACGAACAACACAATAAAAGCGAACTCCAGAAACCGAACGCGCCAAGTGTCTCTGTGACTAAACGCAGTGACGAGGCGCTCCGGCTGCCTCGACTCCTCACGTGGTAGGTCATAAAAAGTAGCGCGACCTAGCGCGAGTCCGTCTGGCCGGTCCGTCGTATGGGACGGGACGCTGGCGACCGTCCGGTGGCTCCGGCAGCTCTAGACGGCGCGGATCAGGCCTGGAAGGACCGGCCCCGCCGCGAAGATCCGGCCGCCGATGGTCGGCAGCTGTCAGTTCCGAGACACCTGGGAGCGGATCAGGCGGAGACATGTGAGGATCAGGCAAAGACATTTCCCCCTTAGGGTCGTCGGTCACGTCACATGCTCGGCCCTCACGACACAAGGGGAGGCCATGTGGAGGCGAGAACGGTTTCAGTCGGGAGGGGTGGACGTACCATCGGCGTTTTCCCCATTTTATCTGAA